GTCACCTATCTTGGAAAGAACACGATGCCTTCACACCTGAAATTCTATGAACATTTTTTGAGCCACTCAACTTTTTTAAATCTCATGAACATTAATTTTTGAATGCATATCAACATTTTTTACAAGTTTCCCGGACATCATTTTTTTCACAGCAAGACTATTTTTAAAATATGCAATGAACACTTAAAAAAAGTAATTTTGTAATATGTATATTTCTCGGAATACAATAAAAAGAAAACAAAATGAACTAATGAATCGGTCCACTACAGCGTCACACAAGGCGAGACTGATGCTCCTCTCTCTAAGGGCGAGACATATACCCACCCACCCTAATTTTTCTACAACCTACCCGCTGCCGATATTTGTATTCTACCTATCCCCGCTCGACCTATATCGATCCAGAGTTCGCTCATTCCCCTCCTCCGACTCCTTCTCTCTTTGATCCTTCTTCTTCTCCGTTGCCTCTTCCACCCCCTCAATCCCAGGGTGCCACCGCCTCACCCTCGCCTTGCTCCCACATGCATGGGGTGGATGGCTTCATCGTCGGTGTGAAAAGTAATCAATCATTGTGGGACTTGATACATAACGACGCTACGTGTCCGACGAACATGTGGTCGGCCGTGTGTTGGATGATCATGTGCAGACTAGGCGCGTCGGAGGTGGATGGATGGCACACCCTGCGTGACTTGGTTGAGGCTGTCTGGGTAGGAGACAATCGAGAGGGTGGCCGAGAGAGTCGATGGAGTTAATTACTGATGAGTGCTTTTTATATATTTGCAGGCGAGTAAGTAATGATGTGTTTTTGCCTAAGATAGTAGGTGATTACGGGCATCTCCAAAGCGGGCTCGAACCTCCAGTATATGTCTGGCTGTCTGGACCAATTTTGTCATGTGAAATCCGGCCCAACATCCAGCCGGAAGCGCCCCTCTCGTCGTGCGCACAACACAAAGCTGCAGTGCCGCACACACACCACGCGTCCATGGGTCCCACGCGCACAACTCAGGCACCCATGTCCATCTTAGCAACCGCCTATCCACACAAATATCGTCCACTGATCCTCTCGCTCACACCTCGCCTGCCTCGCCTCTACCTCTCGCTCGTGCCACCGCATCCTTGCTCCGGCAAGCCCCACCACCACCTGCCTGGGTTGCTCCACTGAACGGCCACAATCGACCTGCCTCGCGCTGCTCCGGCAAGCGGCCGCCCATCCATCACCGCGACTGTGTGGCTACCAGCGCTCGTCGCAATGGCCGACCGCAGCTGGTTGCGCTCCTCTCCATTGCTGCCACAGCAAGATTTGCTACAACGATGTTTTTTTGCTGAAACCAGCTCATTTATTTGCTAACCCACCCAGCAAAAATCTGCTACCACGTTATTTTTTGCTGGAACTGGCGAACCATTTTGCTACAACCATTTTTGGTTTTTGTTACTACCGGTATTTTGTGGATTTGTGCTACATCCATCTCCATGACAACGCCTGTTTTTCTTGTCGATTTTTTGCTACAACCATGTTATGATTTTGTTGGAACCGAACATAATTTTCGCTACGTCCACCAACGGCGGTGTTACTCCACGGCGGCAATGGCTTTCTTCTTTGATAGCTAGGATCGGCAAGCAATTTCTAACAGAACCGGCGAGCAGTTTTGCTTCAAACAACATCTCTTTTTGCTGAAACCATTGGATTTTTTCGCTGGATTCTATGTTTTCCATAGATGCAAAGCAATTTTGATACAACCGGCGAGAAAATTTGCTTCAGCCAATATCCATTTTTGCTGGAACCAGCAATTCCAAAGCCGTGACAACTCACCGTGGCAAACTGCGACGGCCACTGCGGTGAGGCGCTGCAACGTCGTCGGGGTTGCCGGAACGGCGATCCCGGGGGTAGGAGGTTTGACGCAACATGATAGCGATGGCGGCAAGCCGGCAAGCAGTGGCGATCTGGCGTGCAGCGACGACCCGGTTAGCGATCGCAATTCGGCAAGCAGCCGTGGTCCGCCAGCGACAGCGACCCAGCAAGCGGGGGTGGCCCGGCGAGCTTCGAAGGCCGACTGTCTCGTTCTCGTCCGGCACCGCGCTCACGTGATTTGGGGACAGAAGGCGTGTTTTTAGGACGAAGAGTGCCCTAATCTAACGGCTGGAACACAACGCATCGGGCGGACACAGCGACGCCTTGTACTCGCATTTTGTCATCCGAGGGGGACCTGTATACGTCCGCTTAGCACTCATGACGTACGGATTCGCCTCATGGGGCTTGCAGAAGTACGTATCAAGATTCGTATTTTTTTTTGGCATGGTAATACATGTTTCATTTATATCATAACGACCATAGTACAAGTCACGTACATATCGACCTGACAAAACTGAAAAGATAGCAGAACGCAAGCCTTTGCACACAGAAACATCAGCCAAGAAGTAAAATTACAAATAAGACTGAAGAATCCTCTGAGCTTGACACCAACCCCCGTCACCTACCTCTGGCACCACCATAGCGGCCACCAAAGGAGAAAATAACGGATCACCTCCACACCCGACCTCGACGCAGCTCCATCGTTGATATGCAGCTTTGCGGACCTCCAAGGTGGCTCGCCAATAAAAGCGAAGCCTTTGCCGTTGAACGAATCAGACCGGGGCAGCACCCCAGACACACCATCAAACTCCAGATCTGGCACCCCCGCCCAACTAAGACGTTGGAGGAGGAAACCATACCTGTATGCCACGAACCACGAACCCAGATCCACCATCTTCCAGATGCCGTCGGCGCAGACCACAATCTGCATCCGCTCCTGAACTATCTCCCAAGCACCACGCCGGCGCTGGAGCAAACGCCGTCGCAACAACGAAGCCAGAGGACACAGGTCCACCACGAGGATGCCGCCGCCGCCGCACCATCCTTGCTTGAACAGTCTGGTTTTCAAATTCACCCTAAAAGCGGATCGTCTCGTTGGGGAAGGATCTGAAGATTTATTAGTCGGCGCCGCCATCGCAATCGTCGAAGCCATGACGATGAACAACCCAAAATTCTAACAAACTAAGGCCTAAAACAGTCCACACGCGTGGATCCGACGACCCCCCTCACCACCTACGACCGAGGTCATCAGCGGAGGGGAGCCGCCGGAGGACGGCGGCGGAGAAAGTCGCCCTGGCGGCAGGAGGCGATCGCCTTTCTTTTCTTCTCCTCGAAGAAAGAAAGCGGCGGCACCAAGATTCGTATTTACCATCTCAATCTTGGCCTTAAAGATTTCAAATACCGGATAAAGACAACTTGAAGTAACAACATAACGTCAGTTATCGCCAAAAGAAAAATACATAACACCATGGCCGACAACGACTTTGACTCAATCAAGTGGAAGAAGCTCATCGTTGAGTCAGATAGCTCGTCGACACCCGAGGTGGACGAACTAGTGCTTAGCATTGCTCTCCGTCGGGCGCAGATGGACGGAGCGGTAGCTCCTCTTTCAAGGCGTCGACAATGGGCCAGGTGGGCAGTTGAACCCCCGCGGCGTCCCGCGGACACCTGACGAGGTCTGTGTCATCCCCTGCTAGGTGGCACCCGACACCGCAAGCAGCTGCTCGTCCGGGGCGTTGCTGGGCGTGTCGGCTGAAGCGCAGCCAGAGTGGGTGGGCACACGTATCGGCACGCAAGGAAGCCGACAGTGGAGGCAGGCTGCCAACCGCGCCAAGTGCAGATCTAGCAGATTCACGCTTGAGCCACTTCTGCGACGTCATCCGCCGCCCCTAGACATCCGCGGAGACGGACAGTCGTTGCCGTCACCACAAAGATGCGGTGGCACTCCGCATGGTGCTCGAGGAATCCCACCGGTTGGCGACGCAGCAGGCAACAGTGGCGGAGAGAGCCACATGGCTTGGGGATGCCCGGTGCCGAAAAAAATGGGGCGGCACTCGGCATGGCGCTCGAGGAGTCCCAGCGGTTGGCAATGCAGCAGGTGACCGATGGCTGACAGTGAGAGGTATATTATATTGAAAAAGAGTGAATGTTGGGTGAAGATATTCATTCTGGGAATTGGTCCCGATGTTTTAGGAGGAAGCTATATATACTACATAGTACACATATGTAAGTACACAAGACGCTCCAGCTCCACGCCACGGACGGCTACGTGAAGGGGAATACTATACTCGTGCGTCCGACGAGAGACTGGCAGAGTAGCCTACCCACCAGAAAGAGAAACAGAGAATTTCAAAAAAATAAAGAAACAGAGCAAGCATCGTCGGGACGGTGGTTGGTAGCGGCCGGCGGCCAAGGAACCAGAGGGTGGCCGGAGAGCAGTACTACTGAGGCGAGGGGAGGGTCGTGCGTAGGGTGTTAATGTTGGTGGGCTTGGCCGGAGTGTGTTGGGCGCCGGCGAGGGAGCAGAAGGGAGGCGGGAGGCGGGGGGGCGACGTACGGATGTGTTGTTTGTGGTTGTCGGCGGCGACGAGAAGCGATTGATTAGTGAGGTGGAGCGGGGGAGGAGGAATTGGGTGGGGAGTCGACGACGGCCGCGGCGGGTGCAGTTACCGACCGGAGATGAAGGAGGCGAGGTCCCCACGGACGGACGGCGAGTTGGCGGCCTGGGAACGGACGGCGCGACGAGAGCGCTCGTCTCGCCGGCGTGGTAAGATAAGTGAAGGTGATCGATTCAATTCGATCGTGGAGATGGAAAAAAGATAAAAGTTTTGCCGCGAGTCGTCGATGAGAAAAATGAAAGAAGAAAAAAAAAAGATGATTCCCGGGGAAGGAAAGGAACTGACGTCGCGCGCTGTGCTCGCGAGAAATCCTTCCCTTCCTTGCTGGCTGGACGCGCGAAACGGAAGGAATCAATCAGCTAAGGATATGATGGACTGGGTCGGTTTGGTAACCGAATCGAATATGGTACGGATCGGTAGGACGATGGATGGATCGAGCCCATATTAAAGTAAACCCCCGGAGCCGGACCAGAAGAAATTTCAGCAGCGCCCGACCCGCCCGCCGTCTCTGCTCGCAGATCGCTGCCGCTGATAATATGGCGTCTGGCTCTGTTCCCCTTGGGAGGACTAGGAGGGGGCTGGTGTCTTGCGCGCACAGCCTCAACTGCCGCGCCGACGACGCGCCTCTGCCTCTTTACCCCGACCTCGAAAAGGCCATCTACGAGCTCATCGTCAACTTCTACGACCAGGCGTTCAACCGGCTGCCCTGCGACAGGATTCCGGGCCTCCGCGACCTGCTCACCACCGCCGGCACCTACCTCGGCCTCCTCGACCCCGTCTCCAACATAATGCTCAACACCATCGCCCTCCTCCCCGAAGGCACCGCCGGCGCCGCCTCCACCGCTCCACCCGCCGCAAAGAAGTCCAAGAGACCAGCGCGCAACGCCTGGCAGTGGCACGACATTGCAAACAGGTCCTACAACAGTCTCCTGGGCTTCCTCATGGCCTACTTCGGATGTCTCTGCACCAAGCAACAGGCCGCCCGCTACCTCTACTGGGCCGACGCCAATCTTAGCCTCGCCGTCATGCTCGTCCAACACGATCTCTACTATGCGGAGGTGGAGGCACTGGACCCTGAATCCGACAGGACGCAGGCCGCCCTGGAGTGGGCGGCCACCATGGCCGGTCACCCTTCCCCCAGCGTTTTGACCAAGCTCATGTCATCCGGGCTCAAAGAGGACGACTTTCACCTTCTGGAGAAGCTACTCTTTTCAGCACCAGATGTCCCTCTCAAGGCTGATGATGTCGGAGCAATCGATCGCATATTGTGCGTGACGATGAGCCCGCCCTGTCTTGCCACCATAATCCATACTAGAAAAGGGTCGATTCTCCATGTCCATAAGAACCACGACGCCGCGTGGTCGAGCACCCCCTCCACTATGGAGGACAACAAGATCACTTCCACTGCCCTCTCCTGGGACGGAAAGCCCATCTCGTCGCTGCAGTGCGGACTGCCTGACAAGCTGCAACATTGCCTCGGAAGAGCAGATGGCCTGGAACAATATTTGAAGAAGACCCCGTGCAGCGTTGACACCTGCGATTACCTGCAGACCCTTAAGATGCGCCTCCAAGGTATGATTCACAACTTCTGCATCAAGGCTCTCAAGCTGCTGCCCACACCATCCGGCTCGTTCATGCGCGGCTTCCTCATGGCCGGCCACTGCTACGGCTCCATGGACCCTGTCTCCATCATCATCGTCAACTCCATCTGGTACAACAGCCACAGCTGCCCTCTCCTAGAGTCTGAACGCAGCAAGATTGAGAAATACAATGACATCCTTGACCCTCATTCTCTGCTCCGCACACAGGTTCACTCCCTCAAGGGCCTTATGGAGCTCGCCACATTCGTCGGCCCCCAGTTCTCAACAGAGGCTTGTGCTCTGGAGTTGCTCTGCGATACAAGATGTGATATTGTTGACATGTTGCAATCATCACCAGAGATGCTTGAAAAGAAGAACCCCCTCCATGAAGCTGCCAAGGCCGCTGGACACCCTCTACCGCTTCAGCTGGGTGAACTGCACCAGCTGCTGCTGATGATGCCTGATGAGCGAAGCGCACTGCTCTCCTTGATGACTGAGGCTCGAACTGGCCGTACTGTGTTGCGCCTCAATGACATGACTCTTCGTATGAGGTGCATGTGGCTCAAATGCTCGGCTGCCAAAACTGGTGGCATTGTGCGAGTTCCTAAACTTTTTCCAGAGTCTCGGAAGTTGGTGTCAAGCATGAGATCAAAGTATGAGGAGCGGAGGAGCTGGTTCCGTTCGAAGATTGAACAGGTGTTGAAGGATTACACGACCCAGCATTTTTGGGTAGGTATATCCTTAGCTAGCTGCTACGTACATTTGCTTTAATTACCTTCATTTGGCCTACTCTTTTACTCGACATGCTTGCTTTGTTGTAGGAACCAAAATATAAACTTGATATTATCTTTGGCGTGGAGGCAATCAACCAGGGCCGCCCCCCCTTGGGTGAGATGTGCTACCGCGTGAATTTCACTGCTACTTCTGATTTGCAGCTTCAGAGGATGCTATTCTTCGCCGAGTTTTTGTTCTCGGGTGGGCCAAGGCCAGAGACCTGCTGCCCTCTACCCTATGAGTATGCGGGTAAGGCCCCTCTAGTTTCTCCGTGGCACAGTTGATTGGCTTCTTACTATCTTGTGTTGTAGTAGTCTCACTGAACCATGGATGGTCGGGTTTTATTTTGTTGATAGGCCGTTGCTACTATGGCGAGCAAACCACGAGGAAAATTATGTATCCTGATGAGGCCAAATACATCCCGCACGATATCACCCATTACGGAACCCGCCGCGTGGATGACATGCTAGAGATGGACGTCGTCCACTTCAGTTCCGAGATGGACGTGGAGCTCACGGAGAAACTCAACAAGATGCATGCCCATTGAAGAGTGAGTCTGAGTGAATCTTCTGTCGCAGTGGGCGAGCTTGTGTGTGATGCTATCAGCTGTAAAGTCAGACCGTAGTACTATATATGCTTCCTGCTGTGTGTAATGATGTCCTTATTAATTCGCATTTCTGTGAAGTATCATCTAGACTGGATGACACTTTTCTGCATGCATGTTTGGTTGCCTTGACCAAGCTACTAGTACTGTTGTTATGCATGTGTCCGTGCCTAGCTTGCTTGCTTGGCCTTGTTAAATTTGTATGTAAATCAGGCTGCTATG